GAATCGGCCAAGAAAATTGCAATCGGTGCATCCCTAACAAAAATAATAAATGACGCTTTGTTTCTGGCAATATTGTCAGCTTGATTGCACAGACACTATTGGAAGAGAGCTGAACTGGATGAAGACACACCTGATTCATCAATTAACTGACTTTAACTGAAAAAATTGACTTTGTTATTGTCCTCCTGCATTATTGACAAACTATTTTCTGTTTAACACTGTAAAGCTGCTTTGACACAACCTGTATTGTATAAAGCGCTATATAAATAAAGGTGACTTGACTTGACAAAAATAAAGATTTCAGAATGTGTGGATGCAATCACTGAAACTAATCATAGACTGATAAAAAATATAAGCAGTGGGGAAACAGCATGACATTCATTATGATGCATACTACTGCAGAGCATTCATTTGCATCCTGAAATATAAATATGCTGTTTATATTAAAAGGAAGAGTCCCAGTTCTCCGTGACTTCTGTAATCGTGCCCATATGGAAAGAAATAAATCAAGGAAGAAAATCCTTTGGGACACCATTGTACATTTGTTTGGTAGAATGTGGTCCAGCTGGCAAGATATAATTCAACAGCTCTGAAATCACTTAGAGCTGTTACAGTTATCATGAAACATACAGCCCTATACATTGCAGCCTAATTTACTTTTTTTTCTTGCAGTTTTGTGCAGCCTGGAATCAAACATTAATTCAAACATTTCTTCTTCTTGAACAGTATTAATCGCAGTCTGGTGTAATGAAGTACTGTAATGGCATTCTGTTGAATTGTCAGACTTTGAATAATCCCTACAAAATAACAAAATGCCTTGATTAAAATAATATAAAATTTTATATTTATAAATATTAACACATATATATATATATATATATATATATATATATATACACACACACACACACACACACACATATATATATATATATATATATATATATATGCACTTTCTATTCTATTTCTATTCTATCTACTTGTTTTCTTTTATTATAAAAAACTTGACCATCTAACACACTCTCTATTAACACACTCTTCCCTTGGATTTGTGTTCTATCTACGTTTCTTTTATTATAAAAAAAAACTTGACCCTCTAACACTAGCTCTATCTATTTCTTTTCTATCTACTTTTTATTCTTTTTACTTATTAAAAAACCCTTACTACGTGTACTGCGTTAGACTAACCAGGACTTGTCACAGCACTTATATATTGTTGCTCTTTTGTTGGTTTGATTGCTTCAATTGTCCTCATTTGCAAGTTGCTTTAGATAAAATGATTAAATGATTAAATGTTAAAATATATATGTATATGTATAAAATGTATCTAAACATTGGCACTAATGTGACGAAAGAATAGTCATTAGGTCATTAGGGTCAAAAATAATGTACTGTTATATATGCTCCTAAATCTTTATACAAATAGTTATTGTACTAGATCTCAATCGTACATTCGGTTAAAAGTTCCTAAAGTATGAATTTGGTAAATGTGCTTTCTCTTTTTATGCCCCTTGGACTTGGAATGATCTGAAAACTGTAGTTAAACTAGAGACACTGCCATCCCGGAGTAGTTTTAAATGTCTTTTGCAAACTGTTTTAAAGGAATCTTGTTAGTGTTTTTCCTGATCTTATTTTGCTTAATTGCTGAGTGTGAGTATTGTGTTTTTATGTAACTTTATGTGCTGCCGTCTTGACCAGGTCTCCCTGGAAGAAGAGATTGTGAAGTCTCAATGAGCTTTTCCTGGCTAAATAAAGGATAAATAAATAAATAAATGTAATGTATTCAAAATGAGTTTTGTTCAGTGTTATTATTAAATACAAACCAGACATTTTCTATCATTTATTATGAAATATTTGGTATAAGTAAGGTTCACTTTATTAAAAGTAGAAAAACATTAAAACATTAATGTATGATACTTTTTTCTACATATATTTTTTAAATTGTATAAATTAACGTTAATGTATTAAGAACAAACAATGAATAATAATAATTAACAATGAATTAATGGTATATTTACAAAATAACATTAACCTAGATTAATACAAGTTGTAAAAATGACTGCTCATTGTTAGTTCATGACACCTAATGCACTAATTGAAGCTTATTGTAAAGTGTTACCAACTAATTACTGATCTACGCATTTTTTATTGAAATCTGACAGTGTGAGAGCATTTAGCCACCGGGTTAGCAGTCTCAGGTGAAAAGAAGATTAATTGAATCCTCATGATTAATAACATAAAATGAATATTTATATTGCTTCTTTTATCATAGATATTCAAGTAAGGATCTTGTTTTATGAAATATTGAGGGTTTTGGCATGCCATTTGAGAATGTGGGCTGCTTTTCTAGAGATTTCGTCATGATGTATGCTGCATGCTAAACTTTTAAGAGAGACAGTGCAGGACACCCCGCACTACCATATAAAAAGGCAAGTACAAAAAAAGCATAAATGACTCATTGAATGCATAAATGTGAGAAGGGTTTTGGTTTCAGGTCATGAATTATCTATCACCTTCATGTATACTTCTAAGAAGCTGTTGTCATACTGAAAGTATTAATCCATTGCGTAAAAACCTATTTAAAGCAACTCAAGTCGACACTAAATGCACAAAATACACTAAAGCAAGTGCATCAGAACAAACACAAATATCTTTAAGTGTTTTAAAGACTCTTTTCTATTACCCATTTTAATTTCTAGAGGAGTATTTTCTGTCATATCTTTTGAAGGTTGCCATCTTCTGGATAACCAGAGAAACTACAACCCATCACCATGAATAAACACAGCTAAAGACTTGCAAAGACTGCCTCCCTAAATTATTCAATGCTTCAAACTACTCATGATAAGTGAAGACATAATCTTTTTTTTTTAAAAGAAGGACCCCGACCCAGCCTCTCTCTTTATCTTTATTCTCTCTTAAACCCACCTGACTGATCATCAGCAGGCATCAAAGTGCTGCCACAATCCTGACGGCCAGACACCACATATCCTATTCCTTTTGAAAGCTTCTGACAAACAGACACACATTCTCTCCTCCTCGCTTATGCCAAAACAGATCACACTTCTTAAAGACGGTGGCTATTGGTTGTTCAGAAATTAGAAAGTTGATATAGTATGGGTCTCGTTCTGTATTTCCCCCTCGGGTGCAGGTGATTCAGTGTGGGGAGAGGATTCTTTACCCCTTATCAAATATGAATCAGCAATTACTCAACTGTGGATTCGAGCAGAGCGGAAAGATAAGTGCCAGGCCTCATTAAATATGAATCAAGAATATTCATCTGATATAACTGTGGGAGAAAGCTCTCCAGGACTGTTTTATTTAGCTTTCTTGTACAATTTGACTCTGTACACAAACCCCAACCCCTAAAACCTCAAACCACTCCAGTGAAGCAGAACAGCTGAAGATCTACTATGTGTGTCAAGCTGCTATAGAGCCAGGGTTAGTACATTTTATTATTTTTTAATTTGGTTTTTATTCCTATTTTATTTCTATTTCAGTTTAGTTTACAGTTTTCTTATCTCAGTTTATTTAGCTTTTATTTTAATTTTAGTATTTTAAGGCAGCCAAAGTCATTGCACTGATTTGTATCATTTAAATGGGTCATATGATGTTGCTAAAAAGAACATTATTTTGTGTATTTGGTGTAATGAAATGTGTTTATGCGGTTTAAGGTTTAAAAAATATTATTTTCCACATACTGTACATTATTGTTTCTCCTCTATGCCCCGCCTTTCTGAAACGCGTCGA